TTGTCTTTGGAGCAGCTGTACTATTTAAAAATGATTAATTTAATCCTAAGTAACCTTTGACGCAATGTAATAAAAGTGAGTATCAAAATTAGCAACTTGCTGATTTATTAGATCATGCACTTTGCTTTCAGCATCCTTAATACTAAACATTATTTTGTTATTTGCTGTTACAAATAACAGTCATCTGCTAGTGCTTCTACTTCCAGGAATTTTGCTTTATATAGTTCATGAATATTCTAAATTGAGTATGCAGAAGAAATGAAATTCCAATTTAACAATCTTTTGGGATATCCAGGACATTGCTTATGTCTTCATTCAGTTATACCCCATTAATATACTTTAAGAATCTGTTTTGGACCATTAATACTTTTTTAGCACTTTATTAGAGCATACTATTCCGGATATAACCACAATAATCAATGAAATGGGAAATAATAGTTGTGACGGACCAGTCTGAAGAATGTTGGTGTAGTTTCATCTTGTTCTCCAAAACTGTTACTAGTTACGATCCAATTATAAGTAATCAAAAATGTCACATATATAAATGTCACAAATATAAAAATATCTTTTTATATTTTTTATATCATTATCTCAGACTGTCCTGCTTTGCCATTTCAAGGCTTCAAATACTTTAGAAAATAGGAACAGCCCTTGTACCAAGTCAGATTATTCTGGGCATTTTATACCAAGGTTTCTACTTTGACTTGCTATAATTTTCTACAAATTCAAGCAGATTTTTCTCATTCTTTGCTACTTGATCCCTTCCTAAACCAGGGATGCCAAGATTTCATCTGCGGCATTCTATGCAGTACACGCTTCCCTTAATTTAATGGTATCATTTGGTATCATTTGATTATTATGAATAACAGAACTAGAAACCTCACAAGCATAATAACCAATCATATCTTTGATCCATGTAGTCAGTAATTCACATTGGAACTCAGATATAATTCTTTTCTAGTCTGTACCCAAAATATCTTAATATAAATCTTGCCATTGTTTGGCTAGTGACCTTTGTCCTTTCCCAGTTTTCTTTAGAATTTGAAGTTAAAAAAGAAAACCTTTTAGAAAATGTCTTGAAACAGCTTGCCCGAAGGATGTAGTATGCTACTGCAGAAAAGGAAAAATTCTGCAATCTAATCTTCCATTTATTTGCTTCTTTCCTCCCCCTCCCCAATCTTGTATTGGATTAACTTTGTAACACCTCTTATGAATGGCAATTTATGGAAATCTTGTGAATTTTGTGGGTACCTTTTATGCATAAGATGCATTATGGAAAAGGGCAAAATATATCATTGTAATATCTGAGTCAATTGAAATAGAATGATAAGAAAACAGGTTTTCCCCAACTGTTTGTAATAAGACCTTGTGAATAAACTGGTAGTTCAGAACTGAGCAGATGGAAGCTCACCTTTCACTATTTAAAAAAAACTACTAATCCCATCCATTCTTGCAATGTGGGAAGGAGAATCAAATGAAGGTTGTCTGATGTGAAATTCTCTGTATTGAAGGAGGTTAGGATTAAGCCAACAATTTAATTAGGCATGTTATGACTGATACATGAGGTTCTCATCCAGGTGTCTGGAGAGCATTAATCATCATTGTCTGAGCCAGCTATAAAATCAAGGCCAAGTCGCCTGGGCAAGAAATGAAAAAGAGGATGAAACACCCACAGACAACAGACTGAATTGGATAATCTAATGACAGCCAAGCTCTTAGAAGGGAACATGTGTAATAGTTAATACTCTACACACCCACCTTCTCTTGAATATATCGTGGGACAAAAATTAAATAATGAGGAAGGGAGTGGAGGCACATTGCTAGCAGGTGATGTCATATGTAAGACTGGAGGATAATTACCCTGGTAATATGGTTAATGTTATTACGTCTTACAATAACACTGCCATGGTGGGTCAAATAAATGATTAAGTTCTCCACTATGGATATATTTTTGGTTTCTTTCCAGAAGCAAATAAAATGGGTGATGCTGTCAGTCTCTCCCCATGTTCTGGAGTAACAATGGAAAGTGCCATTCCTTTTTTTAGTGGAATCCCTGGAACCTGCTCTTTTGATTGCCATTCACAAGTGAGCTATGCTTTCCTGGAGAATGGAACGGGGTTGTAAACAGGAAGAAATAACATTAACAGGAATATGTTGATGTACCTGATCACAGTAAACATCATTTTTAAAATTACTTTTATTCATAAGAATTACAATATAAATCCTTGCATTTTCAAATACAAGGACAGTCCTTTGACCAAAAGTTGTCCAATCCATGGCCAGCTTAGATACATATGAACTGAGAAAGCAGACCAAAGGCATTGCATAGCAGCAGTTAGGAACATAAGTACATAGCAAACCATTGCATGAAACCATGCATTCCTTGTTCTCTTGCCTGCTCTACATCAGTTTAATTAGTATCAGGCAGAACATTTCCAGCTTTACATGGAGACAACAAAGATTGAATCTGGGACATTTGCATTCAGATCAAGTGGTTTGCAACTATGTTAACTACCCAACGTACACCAGGACAGCACACAGAATATGTATTCAGGTCATATGGATTATAATCCCCTTTGTGATGTTATGCATGGCATTTGTTTGCATTTCAATTTAACATCACACAATTATTTTCAAATGTGGATTTCTACATATAAATATGTGCACATATTTTGCAAAAATGTCTTTCGTTTTAGTCTCCTTTTGACTATACAATGCAGTTGCAATGCTTAAGTTTGTCTATTGTTTTGTAGCTTCTTTTTCATATATATATATATTTATTCTTGCAATATTTGCTCTTTATATACTGTTATTTATCTAATGTTATACATTGTTCTTTTTCTTTTCTTTTTCTTCTTTTGGGAGGTAAATATTCATAGAAAAGCTACTTTTTATGTGTTTATTTTCCATTATAAACAATGGAAAGAAGATGTTTTAATTTTTGGAATCAGGATTTTATTTTCTGTATTGGAAGCATGGCACAAGGCTATAGAACTTTGACTGACTTTTACCACGTTTCCAAATGGGACACGGCATGAATAACCAAAGGTAAACTTGTATGAGTTCCTCCATCAGAAATGTGTGTGTCCAAGTTTCAGGCTTGGGATCAACTGAGAATCTAAGGTAGTGGAATATATTGGTTATTGTTATCTGGGAGTCAATGAAGGCCTTCGGAGACTATGCACTGCAGATAATTGGATGTGAGTTGCTCTAATTGAAGATGGGTTCTAGGGAATATTGGAATGACTACTTTTGTATTACTCTCCCTACTGCACTGCGTCATTCCTGTACAACCTGTTGGATTCCATCAGTTATGGAAACCTCAAGGCTGAGAGTCCTTGAGCATTTCAACCTTCTACCAGATAACATTGAACCTGGAGCATCTTAGAAATTCATGGCCACCAGGGTAATTATAGACCTATCCCAAGTCACTGAAGACCTGATCATTATCCGTGGATGCATTTTGAATCTGTTTTGTGTGTCTTGCGACTGTTGTGATTGATTTGGTACTGGATGAGTGACTTTAGTGAAATCACTTTCTGGTTGTTGGCTGTATTGATTCACAATTGCTGCTCAAAGAGCAAATGGTAAATGCAGCCAAGATAGCCTTCCTACAGATTCATCTATTGTGCCTATTCCAGGATATGGAGGCCCTTCAGAGAATTACTCACAACCTACTCATTTCATGAATGGATTACTGCAATGTGGAAATTACAGCTGGTCCATAACACAGCAGTGCAGGCAATGATAAGCAAGCCATGATATCCCTATGTGACCTCACTGCTTCATGAGTGCATTGTTGACTTCTGAGTAGCACTAGCACTAGCACTTAGACTTATATATTATCTGGCAGTGCTTTGCTTTTATAGCACTCTCTGGTTGGTTTGTAATGTCAGCATATTGCCCCCAACAATCTGGATCCTCATTTTACTGACCTCAAAAGGATGGAAGGCTGAGTTAGCTTTGAGCTGGTCAGGATCAAACTACATTTGCCTGCAATGCTGCATTCTAACTACTGCACTACCAGGGCTCTTACCATTCAAAGTGCTAGTTAACATTTATAAAGGCCTTCCTTGAATACTTTGGGTCATTTAAGTGACCACCTTCTCCAGATGTTTCTGCTTGTCCAGTGAAATCAGGCATGTGCTTTGGATCCCTTTAATCACATGGTGACATCTATCGTGACATCTCTGTGTACATCGTCTCCTCCCCCCCACCCCTATGAGCTCTACAGTTCCCATCCTGATGACAGTCAGAAAGTCATGTAAATGTGGCTGTTCTCCCAGGCCTTAGTGCAGAAAGGTGCTTGAGCCTTGTTGGACTTGATGTTGTTGTAGAAAGTTTGTCTTCTGGATGCATGTACTGTCTCCTCATTTTTATTCTTTTTGCTTTTTGTGTAGCGTAAGCTGCCCAGAGTCATTTATAGTTGTGTAGACTCTAAATTGCATTAATACAAAAAATAAATTTAAAAATCACTGCCTTTTCACATTTCTGATGCATTTGTAAGAGAAGTTGGCAAGGTCATGAAACCAGATTTCATTTTTTTAAGACTGGAGCTTTTTTCTGAGCTTGGGAGGAAAAACCCAAATAATTAATTTATCCCTAGAATGTCCTAGGAATTTTTGATCTGTAACTGTAAGAACACATACTCTGTGATTTTCTATAGAAAGTCATAAAAAAACACAGAGCCCCAGGCAGAAGAGACTGATCTATCAGATGTCAATTTATGTCATGACAGGTTGGCATTCACCATACAAAAGTAGACACAGGAAAGGGGCAAGCTGGGGATGAACATGCTTTGACGTTATAGAAACTGTTTGTTAGATTTCAACAGCATGAGAAAATTGATTTAGAAATGCACGCTCGGAGGTTTTGCCATTGGCTTTCACATTTTTTTTTCAAGAATCTCATCAGTTAAGTGCAACAAAATAAAATGTTTATTATTTCAAAGAAATATTTATTTACAGAGACAGATCTAAATATACGTTGAATAGGATATAAATGAGGCTTGGTCCATTTTGGATGGACCAAGTGTCTGAAACAAATCAATGGACATTTTTAATTGAATATTTCATACCGAGTCCTCTTACAACTTAATGCAACTACCTAACCAGATAGTTGCACTTGCTCTGAAAATCTACTTCATTATTATTCCAGGTCTTTGGAGGGATGCGGGGGGTGGGGTGTTAGGAAATGCACCATACTAAAAATACACTCTTCAATACATGGAAACTCACAATACAATATTTAAGCTATAGGAACAGTAAACAACATTTGACTAGTGTTTTTCTTTTTAACTAGACGCCCAAAATTCACAGAAGCTTAGTACAAAAGAATTGCAAATTCAGGGATTTGTTCAGAGCACCAGAACTATTGTTCCACCCCAAAATCTACTGTGATTATGCTATGCTTTCTTTATTCAACAGTAAAAATCTCAGGGAGGAAAGCTATAATGTGGCAGTCTTTGTTGCCGCTATTGCTAAATAATTGCTGATCTACTGCAATTTAGAAATCAGTAAATCTAATCTATCCACTATCTAAACAACCTTCCAAGCCCTGCTACACATTACATATAGCTGAATCCTAATGAAATCAAAGCTGCGTGCTATCTCATCACGAAACTGAAGACTAGGTTCTTCATGTAGACAGTAATAATAAGCAGGAGACTAATATGAAATGTACAGTAAGCATGGCAATACTGACATTCAGCAGAGAAATAAAGGGAATACTCAGCTGATAATGGAAGTGGGAGAAAAAAAATCAGAGCTGGAGGAAAGATGGTTCTGCATAAATTTGGAGGATGTGAGCTTTAAAGGTCATTAAACATTGCAGTGTCAGATATAACACTGAAGTTCCCCGGCCAGGATATTGAAGAGGAATGCAACTTGGATATAAAGCGGATGGGCTGGCTTTATGCCTTTATGCTGGCTTCTGATATATTCTTTACACAGTTTTGTTGTTGACAATGTTTTTACAAAGCAAGCATTACAAAGAACATTATGAAACCTCACTCCATGATCTGATGCTGGCCATAGGAGCAATAATTTGGCTCCAAGCCTCTCCGGGTGCAGTCAGTAATGTCTGTGTCGCAGGTGTTGCAGTGACATCCTGTAGCAACTGGGTAGGAATAAAAGGATTCCGCATGACCAGCACATCCTGGGATCTTTACAGTCTCATATACAATTGACGTGAATGTGCAGACATTCTGGACATGTTTTTGTGGAAGGATTATATTAGCTCGATCCTAATTGTGGGAGAAAACAAAATAAATGTTAAACCTAAATGGCTTTTCTGAAGTAGTAAATGCCAACATGTTGTTATTAGTAGGAATAGATCTAAACCCAATATTAAGCAACTTTATCATATTATGGAACATAATATTTAACAATTTGTTAAATCAGATCTAAGTCACATTTTAGGGTCTGCGATAAATAAAAATATTTTTTACAAGGCTGTTTGCTACAGTTCTGTATCTAAGAGGCAATGCGGTATGCAATTTGCAATGTGGGAAAACATGCAACTCTTGAAATTGAACTACAGTTAAAATAATGACAAAAATAAGAGAAATAAAAGTATTTCTCAAAAAAATTATTTGTTTATTCCATGTAGAATCTACATTTCCTTGGAGTTTATGCAAGTAAATCAACAGAATTCAGGAAACTGCTGATCTCCATCACTTGCCTCATATAAGAAATATACTTGTATTTGCATCTGATAAATATATAAATATTATTTTTATCTTCTGTTTCATAAAATATATCTTCAATGAGGAGTTAGGAGCCCAGAAGCATTCTTACACTAGGAGATCAGTTAAAAATGCCACATCATTCAGAACTATACAAACAAGGAATATCTCTCTAGTCTAGACTCTTGGCTGTTAGAATTTTTATTTCGACATTAAACCTTACTGATTTAATGAAAATTATTTCCAGGAACTTGGGTTAAGGTATGACATATGAAGTGGCAATTTTGTCCATGTTTGAAATGGCATTCTTTCCAAATAAAATGCATAGAATTGCTCTGTGGAGATATCTATTCAAAAGGATTTTACACTGGACTAGTTTTGCATGCATCTTAAAATCATATGACTTGTCATTTAATAGTTACAGCAGTTATGTTTCTGAACTTGACTGAAATATCTGTCAGAATTGTGAATTATGGCTTGTACCTAAAGTGTTTTGGAAATACTTTACTTCTTTTTAGCTCCCCCCCCAATCTTCCTGGATCCTTACCCTCGTTAAGCAGTACCCAGAGCACCAAGTTGCATTCACCAGGATGCAAAAGCCACATTCTTCCTTCTCCACAGCTATTGTAATATTAGATAGTTCACAGGAATTACAATAAATCATTTTCCAGCAGGAAAATAAGATAACATAGAAAGTGGTTGCCTTCATCCTGTAATTCAAATCCAAGAATTTAGGAACATTTAAACAGAGGGGTGCACATTTCCACAGATCTCTAGACATAGTCGATTACTATGTCCGAACAGGAAAATTATTTTAGAATTACAGTTACACAAGAAGAATCCATACAGTACTGTGCTTATATGTAGGAAAGAGAAGATCATTTAACACCTGAATAATTAAAAATAGCAATAGATGAACATCCTTTTTATTCCTAAAATGATTTTTTAAAAAAAGAAAACAATTAAATGAGGCAGAAATATTACTACTAGTAAATTTAAAAAGCATGCGCTTTTATAAAGAGTTTGTCATTTGCTATACAATATAAATTAAGAATCTGATGAAAAAGTACCTGTCCTAGACTTGCTGGAATTAGCTGCTGGAATTAGTTGTTGAATGCAGAAAGACTCCAACGTCCTTTTTATACAAAATCAGAAGTAACTGACACCTGAAGGATTTACAGGGGATTAGACAGCTGACATTATTTTTAATCCTAGTGAAAGAGCATGAACTTAGAACCAGACATCAAGACAAACCTTGTAAAAAGAACACCATGAACATTACTGCTGTCATGCAAATTACCAGTAAAAAAAAAAAGGCTGCGAAAAAACATGACAGGACCTCTTTATATATTGTAACAGGAATATTATTAGCAAAATAATAATAGTGCAGTTAGAGTACCTTTCCCCAACGTGGCCCTTGTGATATATGCTGTCCCAATCGATTGTGCTAAGCAGGAAAGCCATTGGAGTTATGTCAAAGTTCTTGAAAAGATACAAAAGACAGACAGGAAAAGAATTCAAATGTGAAGTCCCAGATTCAAATAGCAAAACCAAAGGCAAAGATAAATAGAAAGGAAGTGATAGAATCAAGAACATATGAGTTTCATAGATATTACAGACTATTTAATCCAACACCTTGCCCAGAACAAACATCATCTAAATCAATTTTGAGAAGTGGCTGTCCAAGTTTGTGTTAGCCCTGTGAAGAAGCACAATCAGGAGCGCTAGATAAAAATTATAGGTTCTTCATTACAAGTTTTGCTGAACTCATAGCTCCTATATACTCCATGAATTTGGATTGATTTGGTTTGTTTTTGAAAAGTGAAGGGAAGTGTTCTCTACTCAATTGTTTCATTTAAACCAGGAGTGTCAAATTCAATTTCATTGAGGGCTGCATCAGCATTGTGGTTGCCCTCGGGAGGGCCAGGTGGATGTGGCCAGGGTGGGTGCAGCCTACTGGGTGGGCGTGGATAGAGTGGGTGTGGCCTATTGGGTGGGCATGGCCAGTTCCACATCGTTCGTGTCAAGGGTGCCTGTGGGGGCCTGGGCAGAAGTGGGACAGAACTGAGGTTCTCTGGCAGAAAGGGGTGGGACCAGGGCAAGCGCCAAGGCATGGTCCATTTCTTCATTCCTCACAAAGGGTGACACCTCCCCAGCATTCACCCAGGGGCGGGGCTGACACAGCAGGGGCTGGTTCTTTGCTGTTTCTAGACGGCCTTGTGGAGCTAAGGCTGAATGTGTTTCAGCATAGATGGCCACCATAAAATTGTACATTGGCTCCTGGCTGGCCTGGGCCAGGTCCAAGGCAGTGGGGGCCATTCCCTCACTTTTTCCAGGATGGCTTCGCGGGCCATATGAAACTACTTCGGGGGCCACATCTGGCCCCCGGGCCTTGTGTTTGACATGTCTGATTTAAACAGATACTTCAGATGGTACTCTGAGATCCATTCTGCTACATGCTATGGAAATTACACATACTTTGGTCATATTATTTCAGGAAACTGAATTCCTCAGGATAAGACTAACCCACTGGAAACTTTAGCAATTAAACTGCTTCAAGATCTGGATATTAGAAGCATAAAATCCCAAGAAAACTTGACTGTCCACCATAATCTGGAGTATCTGCAAACCACAAGGAAGCTACCTTAATATTCAATAATGGAAAAAGTGAAAAATCCTAAGTGAAAATTATTTGTTTAAAGATACCAGTTAAAATGTGAATCTAATTTAAAGCCCAGTGTCTACATTCAGTTCTAATACTAGCATTTTTCCATGATTTGCTGCCATAGCATCTAATTTTATAACAACAAAATGGTTTTTCTCTATAGATAACCCAAACACACTTTCAAGCCTAGAGCACTTTTAGAAACTTTTGGCAATAGTGAGTTAGGAAATAAAAAATGGGCAGAAACATTCAATATAATATGTGTTTTTAAGAAACAGCTGCTGAACAGCCTATGCCAATTCTTGGTAAACTATTTTCATCTTTTAACAAAACTATTCTGTATAGGCTACATTTCCTAATTCAACTTTAGCACTAACTGTGAACATTCAATATAGTACTTTAGTTCTCCTATCCATAATGATGCTATTTCAAAAGTACGTGATCTACAGCTGTCCAATTTCAGACTTGTTTTTATTTCACTTCTGGTTTTTGAATTACAGAAAATAAGCAGTCCTGTGGTTATTTTGAAGTGGTAAAAAAAAAGGCTAGGCATATTAGACTGGGGTAGCAGGTATAATATTTGACATTCAATTTAAATCTCACTATGTATAATAACATGATACTTGTCATTACAACAATGTAAATGTTAGGCTTGATTCAATAAAATGCAATATCTTCCCTATTCTCTCCCTCTCCCCCCAGTTTTATATTAGTTCTAAGGCCCTTGGATATAATAAACCAAGTTTTCAGGGATTCATTTTAAGACCTTAGAGATTCAGGACTGTGACAATGCTTCATGCTTTAGATCTTGTAAAATTGATATATTTCTGGTAAATTGAATAGTGTTTATATCTGAAAGCTGTCTTTCATTGAAAATGTGGAATAGGGCACTCATGTGGATTTTGAAAGAGGAAAAAAGTATATTAAATTGTCATGTGGTAAAGAAAACTGAAAAAATAGTCTAGATTTAGAGCTTTATGTTAAAAAACAGGTAGAATATGCTTTAGAAAGAGATCAGAGGTGAGGTTCACTAAGTAGGTTTAGCCAAATCAAATATTCTGTTTGGGAATTTTAAAAAAAGATTTGGAATGAAAATATTTAACCCTTAACTCTTAACCCACCAGATAACAGCAAAGAGATAGAAATCTTTAAATTTTGATGCCATCTCATGATGGTTGGGATATTTGCAACCCCAATCTGTGACAGATAGTTGAAACTAAAATGTGACATATTAGTTGCCATATAAATCATCTATGCAGAGAATAAACTTCTGCAGTTGATTTATTCCTACATAGTATACTGCACTGTTCTGTTTTGGATTCAACCTCATATAGCTGTAGAAGCTTCTCCACCACATACGTTCAATCTCAAACCATAAATGGTGACAGAAGGGAGGACAGAAGAAAAAGTGAGTCCCCTTCCTCTTTTTGTGTTTCTCTGACCTTATAATGAGGATGTGATATATTACTTGATATATTCATTGAAATAATGCCTAACCTACCCGTTTTCCTTGAGACTCAGGGCAATATGTAAGAGACATATGTTGCAATATAATATATAAATAGGTATTTTATTGAAATATTATGAAATATTTTGCAGAGGTGGCAAAATTATTTGATTAGATAAAAGACAATATGTTTGCAAGTGACTGGAAACTCTTTTTGAACCTTTTGCTGAAAATGGAAAAATGAACTTATGATTTATGGGTTTGGTGATTATGAAGGTTAGGATATGGAAAAAAGGAGCCATAGAGAGAGAGAGGATAAAATATAAATATATTTGTAAGTGTTGTAATGAAGAATGGAAGCCATTCCTTCCTTCCTTCCTTCCTTCCTTCCTTCCTTCCTTCCTTCCTTCCTTCCTTCCTTCCTTCCTTCCTTCCTTCCTTCCTTCTTCCTTCCTTTCCTGTTTGTTTTCTTTTTTTCCTAACCCTGCAGTGCTTTTATTCTGTAAAACATTTTAATAGAATTAGTAAAAATATTAAAAAGGATATTATAAAATATTGAACAAGATAGCAGAATAAAATCATAAAACATCTCAACAAAAACAAGAAAAAAAATCAGATCTAACTAAACTAGCACAATATATTGAAATTCTCATGCAAGTAAACTGATTTTATAATTTGATGCTGAAATTATATTGGCATCTGTGCTAATAAGATTTAAGTAGAGAAGTAGAGAAAAAGCCCACTTCCTAGGTTCCATAGGTGAAGGGGTAGAGGACAGGGAGGAGGAGCAAATGACAAAAGTATGTTGTGACATCACAATGCAATCGGTCTTTGGAATGCCCAGTATGAAAGGATGAGCTTTGCACTGGGATGTACATTTTGTCATTGTTTATACAGTTTGTGCCAACACCCATGCCTAAATGGCTAATTTCTTACAAAAAACAGCCTCCTTTACTGTGCATATGGTAATGATTCCAGAGAAAACTCCTATTCCTTTCTTTTCTGCATGCAAACAAGCTGGTTTTTTAGTGTTGGTGGGCTGAGCACTGAAAAGGAAAAGAAACTAGTTGTAGAATCTAAGGTCATCCATTGACATGAGTTGAGAAACTACCAGTTGTACATTTCATCCCTCTAAGTCGGTGCTTCCCAACCTTTTCTATACCCCGCACCCCTAGAACACTTCTGATATATTCTTGCACCCCTTACAAAAGTTCGAAATAACAGCAATAAATTATGCATATACACTATAATTTTGAAAACCCAAGTTTTCGCACCCCCTGGAATATCGTCTCGCGCCCCTGGTTGGGAAGCCCTGCTCTAAGTGATGCCCCTGTTTTGGTATCGCAAGCCTGGAAGGAAGAAAAAGGACTCAGATTCAAATCTTGTAAGACCAAATAGCTATGAATTTTGGGGCCATCTGGATCCAGACTTTTTATCTTTGTTTTTGGATGGGGTTGTGCTGCCTCAAACAGATCTGGTCAACGATTTGGGAGCCATCCCTGATTCATAGTTCCAGTTCAGAATGGAACTATGTTGTTGTCTAGGATCACCTAGGTAAAGGAGAATGCCTTTTGCTAAAGAGTTGAGCAAATCCATTGGCAATAGTGCACCCTCACTGGGTAAGGACACCTCTCAAGTTCAATGGTGGCTCTTTTTAAAGATCCATTACTGCATCAACAAATTGCTCTTGAATATACCCTACATGGTAGAAGGTTTGGAAATAGATTTTGCTGGCAAGTCTCTCAGAGTTTGGGGGAAATCTGATTTCCCTTATCAATATTTTTTTACCATATCTGTCAGGAGTATCAGAGAAAAGGGGTGCTTGGAAAGAACTCCTCTATGGATATATTTGGACAGTGACTGGAATTTCCCTATGCTGATTTAATTGTGCTGTGCTTTCATTCAGAAAAAAATAATCCACTAAATCTCAGACAACCTTGAGTGAGGAGATGTTTGGGTTTCTATTGTATTTTCAGAGGAAACCATGGCATTATCTGCAGAATTTTAGCCTTGGACCATATATAGTGGCCTAAATGTATCGTTACTGCCACCTGGTGGCTGATTACAGCACACACCAAACTTGTTAGGTCTACAAAAACCATTGCTGCTATGAGGCAAGGTAAGAATATGCCACCACCATATGAATGGAGATAATACATCTTTGAAGATCCATAAAATGGGTAATATTCTAGAAGGGAGATATTTCCTGGCATCGGAACCCAGGGACAGGAAAGGTTCTATTTTGTGATATTCCACAGCACAATTGCTATGTGGAATATCCTTTCCTAAGAAAAAGGTATACACTAAAAGTAGTTTTGGATTTTAAAAAATTGGGCAAACATAATAAGTAATAATATGTCTGGCTCTC